CCCCATTGAAAATACACCTGTGCTTTTGTGCTTGTCTTTTCACTTGATCAAGAAGACTAGTGGCAGTTGGTGTGAGAGGACCATGACATCTATCAATCTCTCTTTGGAAATTGCAAATTCTCTTCATCAAATACTCTCTAATATACTCCAAACAATAAATGATAGGTTTATCCCTACCACCTTGTATTTTTCCATTCAGAACCTCACATAGGTTATTCAACAAGATGTTAGTATGCGCCCTCCCTGTTTAGTCATATAATACAAAATGAGAACAAATCCTAACAATGACAAGTAAATGTTAACATAAAGGAAAGATGAAGTACTAACATGAGAAATGAGATCTTGCCCAATGAGCTGGAGGAATCTGTATCAGCCAATCATGAGCTTCAGCTTTGAATTTCTTTAGCTCTTCTAATGCTTTCTCAAAATTCCTTACAGTAGTAGCAGTTGCACATGCCCACACCAAATCTTTGAGCTCTTTGTCCTTCCACTGCCTTTTCATATTTTCATAAATATGCCTCAGACAGAACCTATGCTCAGCTTGAGGGAAAAGTTTGGCAATTGCAGGAATGATACCCTATTTAAATATTTCAATACTTAGTTGACTAAATAACAACAATATCAAATTAAATTGAAGTATATGTACCTTCTACCTATCTGAGATGAAAGTGAAGTTTGAATTAGCATTAAGTTCTAGATCATTACCAAGTTGTTCCAAAAACCATGTCCATGAATTGGTGGTTTCATTCTCAACAAGAGCATATGCAAGAGGATATATCCCATTATTGGAATCTACCCCTACGACAGTCAAAATTTTACCAGGATAGGGACCTTTCATGAAAGTACCATCCAACCCTATGAAATCCCTTAGACTAGCCTTAAATCCTTCCTTTAATGCTCCTAAACAAATGTAAATTCTCCTAAATGTCCTTGTATCAGAATTTAAATTTGGCTCACTGTAACAATCGATCTTCACATTAGTACTTGGGTTTCTTTCCATCAACTCTAGTCCATAGTCCCTCAAAATAGCATATTGTTTCTGAAAATCCCCAAAAACATGCTTTTGAGCCAATTCCCTTGCCCGATGTACCTTCATTCTTGACATGTTCATCTTGAATTTTTGAATGAGATCTTCTTGAAATGCATTGACTGGAATGGTTGGATTACTCTCAATTTGCTTCACAATGTTTGCTGCAATGAATTTGTAGTTGCAAGCTTTAATGGTTCTTGATTGACACACCGATGTTCACTAACTAGGGTGTTCACTACCCCGTCATCTGTCTCTTTAGGTCTAGACACCAGTACAACCCAAGGACATTTACCCTCTTTCATATTACTGTTTTGTCCTTGAATCCAGTCCTTGACTTTGTCCATGGCCCACCACTCATATCTGGGACCACTCCTCTACACATAGCCCTAATCCTTGTTTTGTCATTTTTTTCAAAATGTAAATCCCTTTTGGTTTCTACTGCATGTTTGTTTATATATTCTTTCACATCTTTTTTTGTTTTGAACTTCTATCCTAATGTGAAAGCCTTTTGATGAACTACACCCTCAGAACAACTTTTTTCCTTTCTTATGTCTCTCAACATCCTCTCTCTGTTGTTATCTTCATCGATACTTTCATTGAAAGACTTTTATCGGAATGTTCCTCGAAAAATCCTTTGGAAAGGTTTTCCTAAGAGGGTTTTTCAGAAGAAATAAAATCCTTCGGAGTTCGATAAGAAAAGACTATTTCCAAGACATTTTCTAGGAACCCCGCCTTTTTATTGAAATGTCGCAGGTGGATTTACAAAACAATAGTACAAAATATGTTACCAAATAATAGTCATCCCGAAACTTTCACAATTTACTCATTTAATTTCTAAATACAGTTTTGTTTTATATTGTTGTAATTGCATGAGGTACATAAAATAGACCCTTACTGGAATGCCATTAAAATGTGGGATTTAATCAAGACAAAGAGGACTAAGATGAAGACATATATTGTATCCTTATACAATATTAGATTTTTTTTATTATTATTTTTTAATCTTTTTATATTTCCTAATAAAATAAAATAAATATCTATTTGATTGAAAACTTTTTAATTACCTTACAAAAAAATGTTTTAATAAGTCCCGACTCATGAACGAATAACCAACAAGTGATAAACGAGGTTAAGAACTTGTTATAGCTATTATATTTTTTGGGACTAGAACCATAACTTGCTACGTTACATCGAACCCATAACTTGTTACGGTACATCAGACCTAGCTAGGCCAGGACCAACGATAACCGATTGATGGCCCGATTTGTGCCCCTCCAGCTGGTCCATGATCAACCGGTTGGACTTCATAATGTTAATGTTATAACTTTTGTAATCAGGACCCTCAATGCCGTTCAAAAAAAAAAGTAGACCCTCCATAACCGGTCTCTAGCCCATTTTAACCGGTTTAACCATGGAATGAGATTCTTTAGGTAGTTTCTTTACATTTATTCATATGACTTGATTTATTGCTGTTTGACACCCATAATAAGCATGTTTAGTGTTTGGGTATAAGAATATTGAAAGCATTTATTTTCTTAAAAATGAGTTTTTGATAAGTCATTTCATACTTTGGTGCCAAATAAGCAAATCCATTTTTTAAACTCCATTTTGACACCAGTTAACCATCAGTAGTCAATTTTACTAAAAAATTGTTTAAGGTGTGTTTGGCAAAAGTAGCTGTTAGCTGGAAGCGAGTAGCGGTTAGCTGGTAGCTGGTAGCGGGAAGCTGTAGCTTTTATTTGTTATATGAATGTTTGGTAAAAGTAGCTGGAAACTTTTGAAATATATAAAATTACATAAAAGAACAATTGATTAAAAATAAATAAATATATAAATATATATTTAAGGGTAATTATGGAAATTGATTTCAAAAGCTCAAGAACGTTTTGTTAAATGCTACATGAAGTAGCTTTTAGAATCGGCGCGTTTTGCTAAAACTAAAAGCTAAACGCTCATACTGCCAAATGAAGCTTTTTGTTTAAACTAGGGCGTTTTATCAAAAGCTAGAAGCTAGAAGCTAGAAGCTCTCAAACGCTTCCAAAAGCTCTGTGCCAAACACACCCTAAATAAGCAAATCCCAAACACCCTCTAATTTACTTTTTAAGTAAAATCAATAATACATAAGTTTTGAGCGGTCTTATAGTATTTAATTGTTTATATTGTATAAATATCTTATTGCCCATTCTAGACGTTTGTTGGAGCTGCCACTGTATTTGTCTTCATTATTGTACACTGTGTCATTATTTAAAAACTTCATGTAAAGTTGATATTTTCCAATATTCTCGTCATTATATCACTTCAAATAAAAATTTCCAACAATGCTGTCAAACAAATGTGTAAAGATATACACCCCTGTTGTCATTATTTAAAATTTTCCATGATCAAAAGTCTGAGTCTTTGTTGGTGTTCAAAATTCCAATAGAATGGGGATGTGTAACCTGCATGATAGGTTATCCATGAGAAAAACATGTAGTGTAGAATATTGTCGTTCCAGAAAAAATGATAATGACATCTATTCAGAATATTGGACTAAAAAACACGGGGCGATTTCCTACTATTTGATTTGAATAAAATCTCATAATACAAATGATTTTGAGCATTATTATCATCATACATGCCATAATTTTTTCAAAGATATTTTGTAAGAGAACAACCAACTATAGAATCTACAATCATATGCAGGCTGGTGAGGTCAGAAGTTTAGAATTTTAGAAGTTTGTGTCTACTAAACATTAATCTTCCGTCTTTAAGGTGTCAAAGGTTTTGTTCTCTTCAAAATAAATATACACTATTTGAGTGGAAATATGATTTAAGATTTATTTATATGATAATTAACATGTGCAAATTAATACAAAAACCCTTCATTTTTGCTACAAGAACTTTGCAATTATCTTATATATCACCAAATAGCATATGACGACGTAGTGATATAAGGAGTTGTTGGAAAGGATCCCTCAACAAAATAGTTTGAGGGTTCAACTCTAGATTTAAAAGTAGATTAGGAGTGTGAGTTAGTTGTTCAAAAAAATATGTTATACATCAATGCAATTAAGTTGTAATACTAAAAACAAAGAAAATGATAAAATAGAAGGGAAAACAAGTCTTTTTTACATGAGACTTAACAGAAAATTCTAATGGTGTTAGGAAAAACGACCAACCGTGATAGATTTTGAAACATGAGGATTATCTAATATCCATACCATTTTTTCAAAACATGGACTAAACATGTGCAAACCATAATGACCAAAACTATAATTTACTCTAAATATTATATTCAGAACAGTTGGCACAAAGATACTTGTTTTTTATTCAGCACTAGTTTAGACAGAAGAAAAAACTATCATTCACCATCATTTAGATATTTTATTTAGTTAAAAAAAGAAATAAATTCTTTATAGTTAGAACACTTCATCCAAACAAAATCATTTATCTGGATAACAATTCATAGAAATATTAAAAAGATTGAACCCTGAGTTTCTATTTTTCACTTTCCACATATCAAGTTTTGAATTTTTTTTATGTAGTCATCAAAGGACAGAAGTATATGAAAATCAAAATAGAAGATCAACTAAAGGTAAAAGTATATATATACTAAATTGTCTTAAAACATAACAAGAATAACCAGTTCTTTTTTACATTCCAACATGTATTAATTTCAGAAAAAGACAATAGTAATTCAGGTCATTTAATTAATTTAATTTTTTATTATTAATTCGCAAATAAAGGGAAGTTTTTTTTTTCTTGTATTTAGTCCATATTTTTCTCTTATGGTGGTAGTTTTTTTCTTTGGCTCTGTTAGTTGACTCTTCAGATACATTTTCTAGGTTCTCCTTAATTTTGCTCAAAGCCATGTGACATCTTATCTAGTTATGTTGGAAGGTAAAAATTAACTTGGAGATGGTCTATATAATGATCATCGAACATTGAACATGACACATCCACAAACAATTAAATATCAAACCTTTCTTTCATGGCTCCATACATGAATCACTTCAACTTGTTGCAAACCATCTCCCTTTTATACTTTTTTTTCACACTCACCTCCATTGGATCATCCCTAAGCCATGATGAGGAATGCTCAGCCTTGTTTCAGTTTAAGCAAAGCTTAATTCATCAAGATGATGAAGCGCTTTGTGGTGCTAGTTGGTTTCAAACATTCCACTCCTGGAAGCCCACTAACAATGCATCAGATGCTGGTTTTGATTGTTGTTCGTGGTATGGGGTGGAGTGCAGCAATGACCATGAGTACGTTCATGTGATCAGCCTTGACTTGAGTGAAAGATCTCTTTGCGGGCTTATCAACTCTAACAGCACTCTCTTCAGCCTCGTTCATCTTCAGAGGCTCAACCTTGCCTTCAACTACTTTTATGAATCTCAAATCCCATCTGAGATTGCTCATCTAAAGCAATTAAGAAGCCTCAATCTCTCTCATTCTGGGTTTAGTGGCCAAGTCCCGAATGAGATCTCACAGTTGATGCTGTTGTCGTCTTTAGCTCTATCAGGGAATTCACTAAATCTTCACAATCCTAGTGGCTTCAAGAACCTAGTGCAAAACTTAACAGGACTCGAAGAACTCCATCTCTCAGGTGTTGACATTAGTTCTTCTGTACCTCATTTCTTGGCAAACTTTTCTTCTCTAAGGTCAATCAGGCTACAAAACTGTTTGCTTCAAGATGAATTCCCTGCAGCCATTTTTCAGCTACACAAGTTGAAAATTCTTGATTTGTCATTCAATACAAACCTCATAGGTGCCTTTGTTGAATTTCGTAACAGCAGCTCACTTGAAATTGTGAATCTACGTTATACAAGTTTCTCCGGGATTTTACCAGAATCCATAAGCAATCCAAAAAATTTAACAGTCTTGTGCCTTACCAATTGCTCTTTCTCAGGGCACATTCCAGGTTCACTCTCTAACATGACACAACTCACTAAATTGGCTCTTGGTGGGAATAAGTTTGCAGGCTTTGTTCCTTCATTGGTAAGTCTTTCAAAACTCGTGGCTTTAGAGCTGAGTGACAGCAGATTTGATAAGGGAGTCTTGCCTAACTGGCTTGGCATGATGGCTGAACTTAATGAACTGGTTGCATACGATATGGACATAATCGGTGAAATACCAGCCTTTCTTGCAAACCTAACCAAACTTAGTAATGTGGCAATCGGAAGAAATTCTTTTACTGGTCATATACCATCCTGGCTTTTCAACCTCACCCAGCTATCATTTATAGACCTTCAACGAAATCAACTGCAAGGACCAATTTCAAGTTCATTTTCCAACTTGAAAAGTCTTCAATTGCTTGATTTTGAATACAATAATTTCAGTGGGAGTGTCATCTTAGACATGTTCCTAGGACTCGACAAACTCGAAACTCTCGTCTTAGGTCATAACATGATATCATTAGCGGCCACCAACAATTACACCAATAGCACCTTACCCGAACTAAAAATCCTAGCACTGTCGACATGTAACTTGAAGGAATTCCCTGCCTTTTTGCGTTTCCAAAATAAAATGGAACTCTTATTTCTCAACCGAAACAAGATTGATGGCATGGTACCCGTGTGGATCTGGAACAACAGCAAAGAAACATTACATGCGGTTGACCTTTCACACAACTCCATCACAGGCTTTCAACAGCATCCTCAATTTCTACCATGGAGCCGTTTACAAATTTTTTTGATCAAGAATAATCAGTTACAAGGGAAGCTACCAATTCCACCACAAACCACAGTTGTTTATGTAGCCTCAGATAACAATCTGACTGGAGAAATACCACCATTGATATGTGAATTGAAATCTCTTCGAGCGTTAAGTTTGACGTCTAACAACATGAGTGGACATCTTCCTCCATGTGTGGGTAAGTTAAGCAATTCGTTGGTGCTTTTGGATCTGAGCATAAATAACTTTCAGGGCATAATGATGAATGAGTTTATGCATGGTAGCCTGTTGGAATATATTGATTTGAGCAAAAATCAATTTACGGGTGAGCTACCAAGATCATTGACAAATTGTACCAATTTAGAGTTTCTCAATCTTGGAGATAACTCGTTCCATGACGGCTTTCCTTCTTGGTTGGGAAATCTTCCCAACCTGCAAGTTCTCTCGTTGCGGGCTAACAAATTTTATGGGCTGATTCAATCTTCGACAACTGTTTCCTCACAGTTCCCTAAGTTGCGGATCATAGACCTCTCTAACAACAACTTTAATGGTCAGTTGCACCCCAAGTACTTCCAAACATGGAATTCCATGAAATCCTTTTATGATGGTGAATCTATTGAATCGTTCACGTCAACGGAGCCATACACAATGACAATAATACAGAAAGGTTTCAGAACAGAGCACCAACATATCCTAAACATATTCACGGCTATTAAACTCTCTTCTAACCATTTTGAGGGAGAAATCCCTCTATCACTCAAAGATCTTCGAGGCCTTCAAGCACTCGATCTTTCCAACAACCATTTTACTGGAGGTGTCTTGCCATCGTTGGGGTACCTTAAGAATCTTCAAGTGTTGGATCTCTCCCAAAACAATCTATCTGGAGAAATTCCTAAAGAGTTGTTGCAACTCAATATCCTTTCCATTTTCAACGTGTCATTCAACAATCTTGATGGGCGCATACCACAAGGGAATCAATTTGCTACATTCGAGAACGACTCCTACATGGGGAATCTACAATTGTGTGGAAGACCTTTATCCAAGGAATGTCAAAGTTCAAAGGCATCAAGGCTTCCACCAACAAGCAATACGTATGAGTCTGAGTCTCTACTCCCAAACGAAATAATTGATTGGATCTTCGTATCCTGTGGAGTTGGAAGTGGATTGGTTTTTGGGATTGTTATTGGGAACTTTCTATATGAAAGGTATCGTGATCGGTTCACAAAGATGAAGGACAGATGGATAAGGAGGCCACTTCATAGCATAAGGAGAAACCAAGGTACAATAATTCCTTTAATAATCTTACACCTTTATAGCAATTTTGAAGACAATAATTTGAGATGTGGATGGGGTCTCAACCCCTCAACCAAATTGAAAGTTCTTTTTACATTTCATCCAAAAAAGAATGACCTTTAAGAAATAGCTATTTTTTAAATTATTAATTTTTTTTTTTTTTTTTTTTTTTTTTTTTACTTTAAAGCAATCATTACATAAGATTAACCGAATACAATAACCATGTTTTTTTTGGAATGCACATCGATCTTATGATTGTTGATGAGTTACTTTCTATATATAGAAAACCATGAACTTACACCAGCAAAAAGCTAACCTTAGCATGTATTATCAGGTTCAGGAGGTGTGATAGCTTCACGTTCAAAGGGAAAGGAGAAGGCGTAGAAGAACTTCAAGGGATTTTAGTCTATTTTACCGTTAAATATATGTGTTTTAAGCATAAGACTGTGTTGCTTTCAATTGGATTTCTTCGAGTTATACTTTTAGTAGTTTATGTTGGCATAATCATCGACTCTCACATAAGCTACTTGCTTCATACCATGACAGTATAAGATTCCAATGTTTTGTTTTAATGAAAGATTTCCAAAAAAGATAAATATTATTATTAGTATAGAATATAAATATTTTTTACAATTAGTTTAAGTTATAATGAAAAATGTTTAAAAACTAGAATGATTTATAATAAAGACTTAATTATATTTATCATAATACCAAACCACAAACTTTGACATATACAATGATACTAATTCATCCAAATATCATCAAACTCACAAATTTCTACTTCAGACTTACCAACCACCAATTTATAGGCTAAAGATGATATACCAACTCAAAATCCTTCAATTGACAAATATGTCAAAATGATTTCAGTTGAATTAACACACACCCAATACCCATGTCTGATAAAGTTCTAGCTGGAATGCAGTACCTAGAAGGTATGTCATCCATTTTCTTTCATGGTTTTAGAAAATTTCATGAGCCTTATATTAAAATCCATAATGCGTTTGATTCGTTTCATAAACATCAATTTCTATATTAAATCAACTGTTATTCATATGACAAACAACTCCCAAAATCTGACAAATTAGCGTTATCCTTATCTCTTCTGGGTTGACTCCAAGGCTTGATTTTGGTTATATGTTAACTATTTACTATACGTTTATCATCAATTTGAAAAAAAAAAGAAGAAAAAGAACATCGCAATAATATCTTTTCAACAGACATACCTTGCTCAACCGACTACTGTACTCTGATCCAGATCAAGCATTAACACTGATACAAAAACAGGTCGATTGCTGACCTATTTACTTCCAATTGCTGAGTATTCTTCCATATCTTCGTTTCTCTCCTCAATCCAAGTCCGATGCATATCGATGTTAATGTTAACCTGCCTTCATCACTGGATATATACAAAAGAATCGTGAGGTTGAATTTTCAAATTAGCTATTTATAATTTTGCACTTCGACAAATTACACATTAATTGGTCCTCCAATTTAAATTTCATTCGATTAAACCCGAACACCTTTTTATATTATTACTTAATATCCCGATTAGCATTTCACACTTAATCAAGTCAACCACTTGTTTCAGTATTTTTACATAAATCCTGCTAAAAAAGTTATATAATGCATTACTTATTTGTTTATTACAAAAGATAATAGCTTCCAAATTTTGCCCGGTGTTACAATTCTTTTGGCTATGAAACAACTAAAACATATTTACTTGATCTCAACTATATTAAGACATAACTGAATATTTTGCCTCAAAATGATTACAACTTTCAAGTAGAAGTAACGTCTTTTAGTATTCTAAGTAGCTGCCTCGGGGCCTCAGAATAATAAGCAACCCAACCTAACCTAGCTATGGATACACTCTACTTTTACCCATATTAGCAATTACTTGCATACATTTACATATAGTAACAACATGCTTACATTTTTACCACTAACAAAAATATGTAATCCATAACAACAACATATTTAGTTATTTCATACAAAGAATTTCTTTAACAGGCTTGCCCATATCGGTCAGCCTATCAAAAGTTAGTTATTTGAAACTTCTCTCTAATCAAATTTACCATCCAAACAATCAAAATTAACATGTGAACATGTATGGAGTTCTTATTATCACCAATCCTAATCAATGGAACAAACGAAAATTAAGGTAGGAAACAAACAATTCACAAAAATAAAGCAAGATGTGGATCATATAGGCGCCAAATGCAAGTAATTCTTATCATGAACTAAAATCATAAGCATAAATTCCTAGCACCATACTGACACTCACATACACAATTAAGAAGACGTAATGAGATTGCCTTTGTTTGGGTCTCCAAGCTTTTCAAGAATAACTTTAGTAAAAGCATATTGACTTGTGATACGTATGTTTAACATTCTGACATTATATATGTATCCATTGTAAAGACTCTAAGTTTAATAAAAAAAAATAAAAAAACAATGCATTAGCTATACATACAAAAGCAAAAGACAAAATCACAAAATGCTGAAATATTTCAAATACAAATCCACTTTGACTTGTCATACAAATTTCTATGGCTCATGTGTTACATCAGCAAAACAATGCAAAAAAATAATAAAACCTTGACAGCAATTAGCTTTTCTGTTTGTATTCCCGTTTTGCCCTTAGACCCAAGAACAAGCAATGACAATAACCAAGATAAAAGAAAGTAAATAGAGAATGAAGAACAATAGAATTAATGTGGTTCAGCAATAACTTGCTTACATCCACAAGAAGAGAGAAAACTTTTGTATTAGGTTAAGAAGCAATTTACCTCACTTTGTTCCCCTGTTACAAAACTTACATGCTTTTCTCTTTACAGCTGAAATCAGCATATAAGCAAACATATATGGGCCTACAAAGGTTTGGGCTATTAACTGGGTCATTTAACCCAAAACAGTTGTGTAACACCCAAAGTCGGGAAGGCCAAGAAAGGAAAGAAAACCCTAATTTCAAAGGGAGACTCGGCGAGTCCAAGGATGAACTCGGCGAGTCCGAGCGGGATCCGGGTCGAGGAGTAAGTGACCGACTCGACGAGCCGGCCAAAGGGACTCGACGAGTCTGGTCTGTGCAGAGAAAACCCTAAATTCGAGACTTGGAGCCTATTTAAGCACCTCATTCTCTCCCTTAGGGTTCCTTTACTGCCTCTTTCACCCAGAACATTAAACCCTAGCCGCCAAATCCTCTATTTGAGCCATTTGTTGCCTTGGAAGGTGCATTAAAGCTTGGAGAAGGAAAAAGGAACTTGGAGGAGCAAGAAGGGACTATAGATCTGGGATTGTGAGTTCATTCTGAGCATTTGGAGGTAATAAACTAGTTCCTGGACCCTTTTTGCACCTAGATCTATGTGTGGTTGTTGGGGCTTTTTAGCCATAATGTATTATTTTGAGTTAGAAGCCAGATCTGAAGTTGCTACTTCAGATGTAAGCATATTATGGTCTTGAGAAGCATAAAGTAGCAGCCCTTGAGTTGATTATGGAGCCTCCTTGCCTTAAACCCTAGTTTGTGGTGTATTTTGCCTAGATCTCCTTCTCTATACGTAAAGCTTGCAACTTTACGTGAGGAATAGGCTTGGGAAGGGTAGATCTACAGTTTGGAGTCCATGCATGACTCAAAAGTCCTCTGCATGTATGGAGATCTGAATGGACTCGGCGCGAGTCCTTTGAGTGGACTCGGCGAGTAGCATGAAGATTTGGAGGAACTCGACGAGTGGGATGAACAGCTCGTCGAGTCAGATGAAGTTGGGCAGGAACTCGGCGAGTTGGAAGAACAACTCGGCAAGTCTGTTGAAGGATGTCTTGGACTCGGCGAGTCTGTTCTTGGACTCGGCGAGTCAGATCGCGAAACCCCAAACCCTTCAAGTTGAGACTCGAATCAATGAGTCGAGTGGAGACTCGACGAGTTGGACAAGTCAGGACTCGGAGATCGGTAGACTCGGCGAGTCAAGTCACGAATGGAAAGACTCTGAACATATGAACTCGGCGAGTCAATAGGGTGACTCGGCGAGTAAGGTTGAACTGGAAGGTTGACTTTGACCAGGACTTTGAGCTTGACCAGAGTTGAATTGGTTGTCTTTCGGGGGTCAGTTAGACTCAGTGTTGCATTGATATTGGTAGCTCGGGGAACGAGTGGAGCAGGTGTTCAGAGAGTGTCGGGCAGCAGCTAGTGAGATCATCAGCAAGTTCAGCCAGTGCAGGTGAGTTTCCCTTTTGTATGAATGGGTCTAAGGTCACAATACCGGCCCATGTAGCTATGAGTAGAAGACCCGGGGGTTAGCCCTAGGCACAATATGCTAGTATGATATTCAGGACGAGGTCCAATGATAGCGGGCGGCTGCCCAAGGATTGGTTTATATGATAGTTTATACTTGTTGTCTATGTGATACATGTATGTGCTTGGTAGGGAGGTGAGTGTGGGCGAGGTCCCGTATCTCACCAATAGCAGAGTGTGGATGGTGTTCCACATCTCATTAGCAGCAGAGCAGGGGCGAGGCCCAAGTTAGGGAAGGAGTGAGTGTGGGCTGGGCCCGTATCTCACTATCAGTAGGAGCATGGACGGGGTTCCATGTCTCATCAGTAGCAGGACAAGGGCGAGGCCCAGGATAGGCGAGGCCTTAGGACATGATCCATTGTATATGTTTAGCTTATGTTTTGCAGTATGATTATGTGCTATTATATGTTAGCGGGCGAGGCCCTGTGACAGGCGAGGCCTAAGTGAAACAGATCTGTATCCGAGCGGGGCTCGAAGCCAGGTGGGGTCTGGAGCGGCGGGGTCGTTGTATCAGGCAAGGCTCGAGGTAGCGGGCGAGGCCCGAGGTAGGGGGCGAGGCCCAAGATAGCGGGCGTGGCACAGTATGTGCAGTATGTGATTATGCATGGTATGTGGTAGGGTGGGGAACTCACTAAGCTTCGTGCTTACGGTTTTCAGTTTTGGTTTCAGGTACTTCCAGTAGCGGAGTGAAGAGCTCGGGGTGATCACATGGCACACACCATAGATTAGACAGCCTCGGAATGTTTACTCTGATAATGAACATGTGTTTTGAAAACTTATACTCAGATTATGTTTTGGAATGATGTCTTTGCTTAAAGTAATGTTTTATTAAAAGAAATTTTTGGTCTTAAATTTTGGGTCGTTACAAGTTGGGCTGACCCAAATCAACTCAAGCAAAAAACTTTGGGCTGACCACTTACAATTCTCCACCTCGAACAACATTTGATAGACCTCAAATTTTGGATGATACACCAAAGAAGAAATTGCCCACCTTGATATGTAGAGCTCAATCCGGCTGCACCATTTGACCATGGATGCCTATGTACCCACATCTGGGATCAAGCCACCGTAGTTCACTTCACCGGGTGAAAACTCCACCTCACCCTGACACCGCCCCGCAATGTCATTGCCCTTAAGGGCAATCAACACTGATTAATATTAAGCAAGTTGAAGCAATGCTTAAACTTGCCACCTGGTGCCGCCTTGGTTAACATGTCTGCTGGG